CTGAAGCAGTCCTCTGGGAAAAACCAGAGCCGTCTTTATTCCTTCATAGGCTTTGAACTCTTACTTTCGGAAGGTTCCTTCCCATTTTATGGCAAACATTGAAGTCAGTCTCACATAATTTATGTATATGTGTACGCACACAAATATACATATATATCTCATTGCAGTTGACATGATCTTTTGGTATTTTATTTATTTCAGTTTAGTGATGTTTTTATTTTGCTTCAGGTTTCAGTTGTTTATGTAGGGCTTTGAAAAGCTAAAGAGCTTCAGACACTGTGTCTCTGGTGCCACAGCGGCAGGATCTCTGGCAGACTTAGCACTTTTAGTTCTCTTAACCTCTTCCCCAGTGCCATTCATGTCCACCCCAGCTGAGTGCCCTGACTTCAAATCTTGTGGTTAGCGTTTCCATTGCTCCCTCTTGGGAGACCTCTAGGATCTCGGGATAAAATGACACATTTTCCCCTAGAAGTGTGGGTTGCAAAGGTAGCAGCTGCTTTAGTTAATACACATAGAGGTTCAGTTATGCCCTTTCTCTGGGCCTGAGTGCCTGTTTGTCCTATAGTCAGAAGGTTCTCTGCAGGTAAGTTTCTATCTCTGTCTGGATAGGGAAGTCTCTGGTGGTGTTCACTGGGAAAAAACAATAAAAAGAAAGCAAACCTGATACCTCCTTATAATACCAGGCAAAATCACAGGAAAAGTGGACAGTAGCACAAGATTCTGAGTGAGTTTTTGGTTATGGGTTTCCTCTGCTCCATCTGTTCTCGCTCTATGTGTGATACTAAAAGGAAAAAATAAGGGTTTTAAGAAGATGTATATTTTAATGCTTGTGTAAATTTTATTCATGGTAGAATCAATGTTAGAAGGAAGTTTAAGAAAGCACAAGATATAATGCTGTAAAATTAACAAAAATTTGTTAAACTGTTTCAGGATTTTAAACAAGCTGCTCTGATGAGCAAGACTAATGTGAGCCTCTGTCAAGCTACTGCCATGTGCTATCACAGGTATGGGGTGCAATTTATGTTGAAGTGAGAGCAAGTGAGACCATCAGATTTATAATTATAATAGAAGAATAGAAGAAACAGAGGAGAATATTGTGGAAGTGACAGAGTACAAAAATGGAGAGAGGCACAAAGAATCCCTGTATCAGCACTCTTCTACCTACTAATAAACTATTTTAGCCAAGTCAGCAAGTAAGTACCTGCATCAGAGCATTGCAGGTATCCATCTGATTCAAGCCCATCTATTGGAAAGGACCTTGGTAATACACAGAATGAAATCATGCGTAACTTGAAATATCTAAGAATAAAATAAAGTTATTAACTTTGTTCATAAAATGGAACTAACTTTTAAAAAGCCTGTTTCTTGGAAGAGAGGTTGATTTAGAAAAATATTTTATTTCCAAGAAAATTTTGCATTTAGAAAGCATTTCTAAATCTAAAAATGATTAAAATAATACCAGTAAATATCTACAAGGTATAATAAAATCTACAAAAAAATTTATTACTTAAAACATTATTTCCTGTTTCTGGTATTATTGTAAAAATAAGTAAGTTATAGAGGGGAGAAAAGAACAGTTATATGAGGCTAAAATACAGAAGGAGATCAGTTTAAAATTTACTCTGAGATAATATTAAGAGTATAGTGGATTGATTTTGCTAACTATAATACTTACATTTCTACACATACATTTGACATCTAAAAATTAATTTCTAAACACTTTGCTTTTAAAAGCATAGAAATGCAGCACATGAGTATTTTAATGTAAAATAAAGTGTATTTGGTTAAGTAATAGTTTACAGCATTATTTTTCATGAGAGAAACAATAGCAGTTAATTGGATGAGGAAATTAGGATAGTAGACTAGGCTGTGTAAATATACAATTTAGACAGTAAATTATTTAGGAAATTGAAATTCTTTTTTTCCGCTTTTAGGACATAGCTAGTACAGGTACATTTCCCTATGAGAATTAGATTTTTAAAATTTTATGAACATAGTAGTATAATAACTGGAACTTGTGAAGGCGTTTTTGGTGAAAAGGCCTAAACTGGTCTCGGCCCTTTAATTTTATACAGACAGCAAAACACAGTCACACCATTGTCTATTTTAATCCAGCAACCTTTGTACAATTCATCTTTTTAAGTAATTGTCATTCTTAAAAAGAAACGGAATAACGATGACTGATGTGTTTGTTTTGGTAGGCGAGTGCAGGCCAAAAATGTCTGAGGTCATTGAATTCTCTTAAAACTAAAAATAGACACCAAAATTTTTCTCAACCTCATTCCGATGTTTTGTAACTATTAGAGTCAGTAAATTTCTCTGTGTGTCAGTTCCTGATCTCTTTTATGAAATGTAATCACTGGGTATATATGGTAGAGCCTCCTTAAGCTGATACTGCTTTGCAATTCCAAACAACCACCTTTCATCATCCCGCTAGAATCTCTACTGTCCTTTAATAAAAGTAGAATTTAAATCAACAGTAAAGCTCTGATAACTCATAGTCCCAATTCCATGTGTTTTAACAGTTTTACTGAATTTAACAATAAGGAATGTTTAGTGATTGGTTACATTTATTTCAGGAAAAATATTTTTGCTTTTCAAGGTGAGCTATGACCTATTACTACAGCAGCATGGATTGTAAATAATGAGATTCACTATTGGAGTCTTATGGTGGAGAAAGTAAAAATTCTCCCATTTGGAAAATTTTTAAAAAGTAATAAATCTTTAAATTTTAGGGCTTTGATCGTTGAACTCATGGGGTTGCAGACTTTTGAAGTGTGCCTTTGTATATCTCTGGTTCTCACTCTTGTGGTTGCTAGGAGACAACATTCCTTAGGCTGAATATCCTACTTGTCGCCCAATTTGATCACTAAGGGTGTTAAGGTAGAGTTAATTTTTAGATCTCTTTGAGAAAGCTACCTTAAGATTAAAAAAAAAAAATGTCACAGAGGGAGAGCCTGGTGGCTCAGAGTTACATATTCTGTCCATTTTTTACTTCAGCACATTTATTTTACCATTCTTATATTTGCATAAAATATTTCTGAATCTTCCACTCTGCAAGCCACATTCTTTAGTTTTGGGAGGTATTTATGATTTATTTGTACAACTCAGTAGGGAACATCTGGTCACCTATGTGATTAATTTGGAAAATGAGGTGGGCCTTGGTGTCCATGGCCTAGCCTGCAAGCTGAGCACACGATTCTTAGTTAATAGACACCATAATGAGAGGCATGCACCTTCTGTCAGTGATCACGTTATTTTAGATTTATACAAACACTTTTTGTTTTAGAAAAACTAATATACTTTTATATTTGTGTAATTGATGTTTAACAATTTATGTGCCAGTGAACCTGTACCCTGATATAAGAGACACTGCCTCATTTTTTCATTGTCTAACTACCATGTGATTATTTAACAGGAGCTCCAACCTGCAGGGCACTGTGTGATACACACATCTTCAGAAAAATGAAGTTGTGTCTATGGAGTTTTTCTTTTTTTTCTAGTGGTGGAGGGGTCTGGGAGTCTCTGGCTTTGGCTCTCTCACCTGCTCTGGACTTGATTTTTAGTTATCGTCAGCTTTGAAGAGCTTGCCAGGTAGCTTTTGGGATCCCTTTCCAGGTTTAAGGTTTAATGATTATTTACTTAGTCAGAACAGACTAGATGTTCATTAAACATTAGTGCTGATAACTAGATATGTATAGAAAAATAGCTTCAATTCATTGCTTGTTCTTTTTCTTTTTAAATTGGTTAGACTATTCAAAGGGTGAGATTATGTTTTATAAACGATACATAGGCATATGTACTCACAAGGATTTTAAATCTCCCTCTGCGTAAGAGGGGAGCAATGTGTATGATACAATTTGGATGTAAATATACCAGAAGCACTTCAGTGTTTTGTGGGAAAAATATGAGAGAGCTGGGGTTGCCCTGTAAACTTCAATTTACATGGTCACCATAGGTATGCATCATAAGTAAGTAGTTCACTATCCATAGATAGAAATACTGAGCATAACAAAACCTATCAACTAAATGCATTTTTATACGGGAATACTACTGTGTAATTATTCTTGATAAAAAATTTGTCATTTATGCTAGAATTTTTTCTGTAATACAGTGAGAAAGTGGCTACAAGCATTGTGACCTTATATTCAGTGAACTTTTACTTCTCAAATAGTGCTAGTTATGAGGAAGGAGGAGGATAGTTTCATTGTAAACTACTTGAGGGAAGGGAGCCCATGTTTTCTTAGTGAGAATCCACAGAGTGAACTCAGAAGATACCAGTTGGCTCACGTATGTGAATGTTAAGCTTCCCCTGTTTGTAACGTCAGAGGCCAGGCTTTCCTGGTGCTTCGCTGTTGATTCTTGGGTGATCTTCTGACACAATACTTGGTGAATGCTTTTGGGTAGTGTTTGCCAAAACATGGAGCAAATATCATGAGTAACTCCATTATTTTTCATGGTGTGCACAAGCATTAAAAAAAATATTGAATCACATTATGAGCAGCTGAATTGCTTTTCAGTTTCAAAGTGAATTCTTTCTGAAACCTTCTGAATACATCAAGGAGAAGGTGTCAGCTAAGAGTTAGTCTTTAACATCTTTCCCACACTTTGTAATAGATGGTACAGCTCTCAGGTTTAGTTTTCTGCAGACTACACTATCCAACACCAATATTTATTTATTTTCATGGTTGCCTTCTGTTTATGGCATGAGATACTGATTTTGTATTTGTGGTATTGAAATTAAGTTATTTTAAAAAATAGGTTTACTTCAGTAAAAGAGTAACCTGACTTAAAGAAAAATACTAAGTAAACTATAGTGTAGGTGGAACATAGGGCAGCTGTCACAAAGGAGGGGCTGAGGTTTGGGAAGCAGCATTTTAAAAGATAATGCTGAGTAATATCTAAGAGATGGTAGTTTCTAGAACAGTTACCCTGTGTTCCATGTATTTTACAAAGGAAAAGTTAGCAAAGTAATGATGCATCTCATACAAATTTGAAAACTTTTTGAGAAGTAATGAAAAGAATGGAAGGAAGATAATAATCTTTATTGGGTGAGGGTCTCTGTGCTAAGGGTTTTTCACATGCTGTCATTTGATCCTTCTAACAGTTTTGAAAAATTACTATTAATTTGTATGTTTGGGCTTGGGTTTGAACTCCAAGGCTTTCTTCTGACTACACCGTTGAGATATCAGCTCACTGGCTCTTGTGCACCAATTACAAGTATGTTAAAGGTGAAGAATGTGGGTAGAGATGACTGTGGGAAAGCATGGATTTTGGAGTCTGGCTCACCTGAGTTTGAGTCCCAGATATTTGCTCAGTGCAATCTTAGCATGCTATTTACTATGTTATTTACTATGTGCAAACTTTTCTGAGCCATGATATTCTTTTAATCTATAAAATATAAAAAATTATAACAAGCTTACAGAAATGTTGGAAGGATTAAGTAAAATCGCATATGTAAAGCACTTAGCACAGTACCTGGTAAGTAAGCAGTTATTCAGTGTTAGTGCCTTCATTCTATTAAAAAAAATTCTAGACTCTCCATATTAATTGAGATTAAAAAGAATTATTAGATATGCATGTGAAGTGGAAAAGTGACTTTATGTACCCATGGACATGGGAATATTCGATTCCTTCAACAGCCCTCTCCTCACCATAGGAGACTAATTAAGGAAGACAGAGAGACAGAGTTATCATTTAGTCACATATATTCACAAGTTAATAAATAAAATGCATTTTACTTCTTTTTCTCCCCTCCTCTCTTGGTGTCCAAGATGAAATGGGCTGCCTTTATAGAAGATCTGAAGAACTCCCATGTGATAAAAATTTAGCTCCTTTCATTATAAAGGACATATTAAATAAATAACAATGGATTTATTTTAATCTAATTTAAATAGTGTATTTTATAAATAATAGCATATGTTTTTCTATACTGGCCACTGATAACTGTTAAAAACAGGTTCAAGAATGCCATGCAGATTTTTATAATTCTGAAAAAGAACTCTAGCATGTCATCCCAGCATATTCTGCTATAAAAATGTCTCTTACCTCCCCTCTTTCCTTTTACCAATATCTTTAAAGAATCCATCAGGCTTCCTTAGGTCATATGGACTTACACACTTAGTTCTTATGATAATAAAAAATAATAAAAATTAAGTTTTTTAAGGGTCAATGCATTTCTTTATGAAGAGGTTATATACAGGAAAGCAGTTAGACTATTCACCAGAAAGCATCAATATTTTAATTTATTTTCAGAAATAAAGAGTTTGAAGAAGCTGTCAATTTCTTTACCTGGGCTGTTAAAATTGATCCCTGTTTTCTGGATGCTTACATTGGACGGGGAAATTCTTACATGGAATATGGACATGATGAGGCCATCAAACAAGCACAGAAGGACTTTCTGAAAGCACTGCATTTTAATCCAGTCTATACAAAAGCCAGAATTTGTTTAGGCTATAATTTGCAGGTAATATTGTATAACAACATTTTACCACGGAAGCACCTTTTGGACAAGAAAAAGAATATATTTGGCCTGTTAGCGGTGATGGGGATACATGATATTTCTTTGGCTATGAACATTTTACCTTTCTTTTCTTATTCGTATTCAGAGCAGCAGTGGGAAGCAGGGGTTTGATGAGTTATAGGCAGCCTGCCTGGAGAGCATACCCAGGGACCTGGTGTGATAGTGAGATGAGGATCTTCTGAACTTGAGTTTCCTTAACGCCTGCACCCCTTTCTACCTCACCCCCTTATACCTACCACACTTGTAGACAACTTTTAAGACTTGCCTGATGAGTTTCACATATAAGAACCTGGCTAAAATTTGTTTCACTAGCTTATACCTGGGCTCCATAGGCTTTGGCCTATTAAATTAGTGAAAAGCTAAAGGGAATAAATAATGTATGATCTATGCGATGGATCAGACAACCACTGTATAGAGATTTCTGAATTCAGGTCATCTTCCAAATGGCAGTGAATTAGAACATACCGGAAGGCAAAGAGACCAGGCATTTGTCCTTCCAGCAAGTTGGAAGGGTGTTGCTCTGTTGTGTTGTCACGCAGGTCTCTGAGTGATTTCTGGGACACTCTGACCTGACCCATGCACTCACCAAGCTATTTGCACTAACAAAAGATGTAGTGGTATTCACGGAATAAAGTGCTAGATGTGTTATATTTTCCATGAAAAGGAAAGGAATAATCTTTTTATCCCTTTTAGTATTAAAAAAGTTAAACAGTGGTCCAAAGTATGTTTAAATTATGGTAATTTGCAGAAATTTCCTATTAATAATCTGTCATTTAAGTTGAATTTTTTTCATTTAGAAGTAAGTGAATTTGGCTGACCTAAGATTAATAATATTGGAGGTGGTTGTGGGTTTGGTTATAGTGAGGTATGCCCAAGAACTGATTAATAAGGGAAGTAAGATTGCCTTCTGAGTGTTAAACATAAAATTAGCCATTATTTGATCACAGTAGAAATTTGCAAAGTCAATTTAGAGACAGAGCGACTCCTAAAACAGCTAGAACTTACTGTAATCAAAAGAAATGTGTTAACAGCATCATTCATTGCATTCAACAAGGATTTACTGAGCACCTAGTATAGGACAGGAACTGATCTAGGCCTAGTGATACAGCAGTGCCCAAAATACACTGGTTCTTCTTGTAGAGTTTACTACCTACTGGAGAGAGAAGCACCAAGCAGTCTTATTAATAATTATTTAATTCTATTCAGGATAAGTGCAACCAAGAAAAAGGATGGGTTTTAGGACAACTTATAACCAGGGAACCTAGCTTCATTTTAGGGGTGAGGGAAGGCTTTTTGAGAAATTAACATTTAAACTGAGGTGTGAAAGACTAGAATTAGGACTAAGAGTTAGGGCTTAGAACACTGTGTTCCAGAGAGAGGGAACAGCCCATTATAAAGTCTTGTGAGAAAGAGACAGAGGGCTCAAGGGGATGGAATGTTATGGACAAGGGGAGAGTGGTATGGGATGACACTGAATTGAGTAATGACTGGAGGTGAAGGTCTTTTTAACTGGTCCAGGTCAGTGAAAAATGTGAATGTCACTCACCAGAGCAGTGACATCAGATTTGTGTTTTATGAAGATCTCACTGATATATATCAACCTGAAGGAGGACTGAAAAACACATTAGTGTGAGGAAGACTTGAATCAGGAAAGGAAGGACTGAAAAAGGAGAGTTAGAGAGGCCCATCAAATCCTGTTCGGGGGAAGAGTGACCATTTCTTGGACAAATATGAAACAGATTCCCCTACTATGTGCCTACCACTAGAGTTATGGAAGTGAGCAAAACAATTGTCAGAACAGACAAGTTCAATTCCTTGTTCAATTCGATGTTGGTTTCCACATAATTTACTGTGAGGGAGAAGCTTTACTGGTTAAAGAACAATGTCTAGTTAACTTATTAGTTATAGTTCGTGTTAGTTTTATGCAAGAGTCACTGGGCTTTGCTTGGTTTATGTGAGAGTCCGCTTCTGAGACTCTGGCAAGTTGGGATTTTGAACCCACAGGAATAAAGGACAGTCCCTGGACTGTGCTGAATTTATCAACTCACTGCCTTCCTGTGATGAGGTATTTAGTTGCCAAATGGCCTTCTCTAGGAAATACTCTGACATCATTCTGTTAACAGTGTCCTCTCCTAACCTTCTTTCTTTTTTTCCAGTTGGCGCTAAGGTTGGTATAAACACCTGCTTGGTAGATTTGCATGGTATTATGTATGGTACGTATAACTGGAGATTCAGTGCCAAGCAAATAGACAATTCCTGCCTGTGTGTGCAGAGCTCAGTGTAAAATTTGTGGTGATTGTCAGAAGCATTGGTGTTTCCCGTCGTGGTCAAGATTTCATGTTGTTCAAGACTGGTATAAGAGATGACTCTGACAATTAGATTTATTTCAGTTAATTAAAATTTCAGCATAAATGCTCAGAGGTAATCAGTCAATTGCATGCACTCACAGTACAGCCTACTTCCTTGTTTAAAATATCTTAGATTAAGCACAATATAAATATACCCTTACTAAAGGCTTTATTTGATTAAGTTAGAATCATAAACATTTGTCACGATATGGACAATTTCCTACTTGGTGTAAATGGAAAATTATTTTAGGCCCAAGGAAAATTCCAGAAAGCTTGGAACCACTTTACCATTGCCATAGAAGTTGATCCGAAGAGCTACCTAGCCTATGAAGGAAGAGCTGTGGTCTCTCTTCAGATGGGTGATAATTTTGCTGCATTTCAGGATATAAATGCTGCCATAAAGGTAAAAATCCACTCAGATTATATTATCATTAGCATTAAATTAACATCATCAGTGAGTAAGATCAAATAAGAAGTTCTCTGTTGCTTTCTAAAAGTGACTTGTAGAGAAAATAATATTTGTATTTTTTCCCCAGGAGATTCCTAAAGAGTTATTATAGCTTACCAGTTTTATAACCTAATGCATTTAAAAAATTTTAAAACAAATCCCTAATAAATGTTGATTCCTCTGAGTAAATGCAAATTTATAGTTTCATGATACATCAGTATTATTGTGTAATAAAAAATGAATGCAAAAAATAAAATAACGTTCTGGGTTTGAAGGAACTAAAGAAAGAAGAGTGTAAATCCCCAGCTTCTTCTGTAGTGAAATGGCAAATAAAAACTGCAGTGACAGAAAATCTGCCTTTTCTCTTCTAGATTTCGGATTCTTTTTTTTTTTGTAAATTTAGGTAGATGTTGTCATCTTTAACAGAGCTAAACAGATGAGCTTTTTTCCCCTTGCATCTATTCTTTGCAAAGGAGAGTAGAGCACTAAGATTATTTGTTTTATTGCAACCAGATCAACAAAGTGTTGACCCTGAACCAACTTCATTCGGAGTTGTTTCTCAAAATATTTGCTCTAATGGGGTTTCACCTGCCCTGTAAAATTACTAGTTTCCCACAAAGAGATTTCATAACGTCCATTTTTGCAGACATGAAATTGGAGATAAGTACTATTCCCAGATGCTAAATACTCATACTATTATATTGCAGATCAATACTAGAGCAGAGTTCTTAACAAATCGTGGTGTGATTCATGAGTTTATGGGTCAACAACAGAACGCAATGAGAGACTATCAAGCAGCAATTTCTCTAAACCCCACGTACTCGCTGGCTTACTTTAATGCAGGAAATATCTACTTTCACCACAGACAGTTTTCCCAGGTAATGTGAGTTTTCCTTAACATTTTCTTTTTGACCGTAAATGCTTTCTCTGCTACATATAGTTTCAAAATGCAATCCTTATATGTCAGGCTAATTTATTCATTAGCTCTTTAAAAATTTTTTTCTCTTTCATAAAAATGTTTATAATTATTTATTAAATGTTTACACCTCTATGGATTTTTTCTCCTCATTATCATCAGCCACTCAGCACTTGTCCAGTAAACATTGTTTTGGACTTCTCTGAGTGCCGGCAGTCGCCTTGCTATCCATTGTCACCAGCTTCCAGCCTGGAATCCTCTGCTCTTTGCCCCCACTTAGCCAAATGTCAGACTTCCTTCCAGACTGTCTTTCGTGACGTGATTATCTAACTCATCTTAATTTCTACCTTTGCTAAGTTTCAGTCACACGAGCACTTGACTGGAGTAAGGAGATACGTCTGTTAGTTCTGGTTTTCATGACAACTTAACCTTTTTGGACCTTAATTCATAACGGCTGAAATGAAAGTGTTGGGTTATTAGATTATATTTTTTATATTTTGAATTTATTTTATTTGGACTGTAATGCATTGCATGACTCAGACACTATTTTTTGTTGTTTTGAATCTATATTCACTCTTTTGTTCATCTTCAATTTTATTTTGTTCTTTGTCTATCTTTTTGAGTCAGAAGCTTAATTCATTTATTGTCGCCCTTTCATTTATATTGTGATAAATTGTTAAGGTTATGCCTTTTCCCCAAGTACTGTTTTCAGCAGTATCCCCTGTATTTTGCTCTTTAATGTTTTTATTTTTGTTTTCCCAAAACATTGCACTTGAAATTTCATTTCTCCTTTGACTAAAGAATAAATTAATAAGGGCACTTAAAATGTTCAAGAGGAAGGGCTTTTATATTTTCTAATATTGGAGTATAATTAGTCTATATCCATACTTTTTTTTTTTAATTTGGTTTATCTTGGACAGAGAAAGGTTTATTCAAGTATCCTATAATTAGTGTGGCCCTATATAGTTTTCTTTACATCTCTTGTAATTTCTGCTTTATGAAAATTGCTGCTATTTCATGTATAGATGTTCATATACATATTACATATGCATTGTGAATTGTAGTCTTCAGCATTACAAATGCTCTTCTTTGTTTCTCTTTGGAATAAATTCTCCTTTATCTGATGTGAAGATCCTGACCTCTGATTTCATTTGGTTTGCTTTAGCCTGATAGTCCTTTGTCCTTCCTTTTATTTTCAGTGTTTAGAATCTTTTGTTTTAGCTGTGTCTCTTTTATACAGCGTAGAGCTGGATTTTGGTTTAGATGACAATTTGAAAATATTTATCTTTTAATAGGTGGGTTATATCCCATTGACATTTTGGCACGGTCAATATGTTTGGTCTTAGTTCTGTTATTTTATATCATATTTTCTGTTTACATGTATTTAAAATATTTTATTCTGTGGTCTGTTTTATTTTAAAATTTCAGAGTTTTTCTAATATTTAGGCAGGTTTACAGTTTGCTTTAGTGATGACCTTTATAAAAATACCCTTGTACCCTTACTTCCTTATTTCTTTAGTTCTCTTCTATGAAGAACAATAAAATGACCCTTTAATCTCTTCCTCCCTTATTTCTCCCTCTCATCTATTAGTCAATTTTAGTTAATAGTATGCTCTTTTGAAAAATGTTTATATTTATATCCTGAAATATGCTTGAGCTTGTTCTGTCAGCTTGTCATGTCAGCTTGCTTTCCACTCTCTCTGTATTCTTCCATTTTGTCGTGTTTCGTTATGCCTACACTGCCAGAGGATTTAATATTTGCATACTATTTTGTTACCTTTATTTCACGTTTAGTCTTAGTTCTTCAGTTAAATATATTTAATTCTCATCACCAGGCTTTTTGCCAAAGTTTCCCTCCTAACCAATCATTTCTTGGTGGTCTGAAATTAGTCTTCTAGTAGAGTCCTGAGAAAGGGTTCATGAGAACAATATTCCTTGAATGGTTTCACTTTCACAGCTGTTAGCTGTTAGCTGTATAGTTTATCTACATTGTAGGAATACATTTTTTCTGGGCAGTTTTTATGACCTTTCCAAAAATTAAGCTCTTACTTTTTTATCTTTGTTTTTTACAATGAAGGCATGCAAATTACTTTTCTGTTCCTTATATTTGAATGAGATAATTTTTTTTTTTCCTGGACTAATAGCAGATTTTCTTGTGAGAGATACGGTGATAGGCCATGGTAACTTTCCGAGTTGAGCTACCACTGATGCTATTGCACAGGACTTTACAGTATGTCCTTTCTAGCCTAGCCTGGTTTGGGAAGGCTTCTACCACAAGCTCTGTGTTTCTCAGAACTTTTCACAGTCCTTGCTTCTAAGATAACATTCTCATTTTAAAAAGTTGTTTTTATTGCTTGCATTTTCTGAGATCTGTAACCTCTGTATTCTCCTCTAACACCCGATACTGTCACCATACCCCTTAAAAATGATCTTTGGGGCACGGGCACCTTTATCTACCGAGAGGCTAAAGTCCTTGTCTGTATTTTGCTGGAAAAGCTGAGCAGATATTTCCTGATTCCACTTAGTTCTTCATTCTTTCAATCTCCTTATATTTATAATGTACCTGCCATGTGCTAGGAATTAAGACCCAGAGGATACAGAGCTAAACAAGATAAGGAAGACTTCTTTTATGATGTAGCTTACATTTTATTGGAGGAAGAAATAGAAAATAAACAATATTAGTAGTGATAAACATCTAATACCATCTTATTTAAGCATCAGTATATCAGTACTAGCATACTAGTGTGGGACTATATGAGATTACCTGGGTGGATAGTATAGATGGAGAGAAGGGGTTTAAGGAGCAAGCCCTGGGGCAATACCAGTGTTTAGAAGTGAAGTAGAGAGGAGACTCCAGAGTGTAGACTGAGTGGGGAGTATCCAGTCAGGATGTTGGGAAGGAAAGCAGGAGAGCATGATATGACCTCAAGAATAAAGTACTTTAAGAAGGGAAATGTGTCCTGTGTCAAATGCTGCTGAGAAGTCATGGAAGGGGAGGATGGAGAAAATCATTGATGACTTTGGCAAGAACATGGTTGGAGACTCAATGGCATCAGAGCCTTGAGCGGAAAGGGTTGTGGAGAAAATGTGAGGTGAAGAATTAGAGACGGTTCAACCAGTTGAAGAAATTCTTCTGTGAAGAGAAGCAGTGAAATGGGGGTGGTGGCTAGAGTGGAGTAAGGTGTTCGTATTTTTAATTTTTTTAAATAGGAGGGATGCTGATTCATGCTCCTGTGTTAATGAAAGGATCTAGTAGAAAGGGAGAAATTGTTGGTGCAGGGGAGAGTGGCAGGGATAATTAGGATCAAAATCTTTGAGGATTTGTTGGGGCTAAAGTTTGGAAGTTCCAGGGGTGGCCTTTGAAGGGAGCAGGACACATTATCCATTATGTTATGAGGGAAGGCAGAGAGTTGGGGCACAGCTGGCTGTAGATAGGTAGATTTTGATAGTAGGTATTTCTCTTAAATGATTACATTTCTTCCATGGAATATGAGTACCAGTTAAGAGTGAGGGTGGACAGGTAAAAAGAGGGAGAGTATGACTAGGAGTTTTGAAGAGGAAAGAGAAAATGTGAAATAATTGTTTTAGAGAGCGGTAGGGTGAATGTTCTGGGGAAGTATAGTAGAACCACCAGACAACTTCAAGTTCTCATTTGAGGTTGTGGTTAAATTTAAAGTGAGATCTTGACTCCATACTGCTTTGTATGTAATTATTTCTATTCAGATTCAGTACGGCTTTCTGTCACCCCACAATTGTTTCTGTGTGTTAGTCTCTTATCTCCTCATTCCAGTTAAGCTCTTTAATGCCAGGAATCACACTGCTTTCTCTTCTCTCCATATTTCCTTACTCAGAAAGTCCATCTATACCCATGGCTTATACTACATGTCAGCCTCCACCTTTCTTCTGAGCTCCTAACCCATATTTATCACCAGTTGCTAAAACTGGATGTTTTGCAAGTGCATGAGAGCCAAAACTGAATTAATCTCTCCCTCCTCTACACCCCGTCCAGCTCTTCTTCATATAACCCTGCCTCAATTCAAGATGTCATTCCGTGGAGTCACCTGAGTAAAAATATTAGCATCATTTGTAACTTTCTCTTCCTCAACTTCCTCATCTACTCAGTCATCTAATCCTGTCAAATTTCCTTCTTAGTTTTTTTCTCAGCTATGCCCTTTCCATTCTATTTCTACTGCCATTGCCTTAGTTTAGCTGTTTCCCAAGTCAGATCAGTTGGCTTGCTGACCCCTGTGATGAGGCTGGTTGACCTCAGTGGTGAAGCTAGCTGCTGGGACAGAGAATTATCAAAGGTATTATTATATAAGGCATGAATGAGATTGTCATAGCTCAGACCTCAGACAGCTGGAAGGCTAATGTTCTCCCAGGCTGACAGGCCAGGGTCAGTTGTCTTAAAGTTCCTCGAGCTCAGACCACACTCTGGCTGGGTCTTGGCAATGTTTCTCTGTGTTGTAGAGTTAGTTAACGAGCATTAGACAAACACAGTGCCCAGGGCAGTTTTCTGTTTCTATCAGTGTTTAAGGTCCACATGAGAGGGAGACCTTCACATTTAAACTTATTTGTCCTTAATCACTCTATGGACATCATGTATAAAACTATTTGGTTAGATCTAAAGTGTAGTTTGATCTTTGATTTTTTTTTTTTTTTTTTTTAAGTATGGCTCTTGCTCCCCCAAGCTGGGGACACATCAGCTGTGCAAATATTTGATCTAAAATGTATTCCGCTCTCTGTCTTGATATACTGGATACTTGGGCTTTGCAGTATGTGCTCCCTTCAGAGGCAAGCAGACTTTGAGAGTAGTTATTCAGCTATTTTGGTATGCTCTATGCTTCTTTGTGGAGCAAATTCTTCTATTTCCTGTCCATCCTCCCCCTCCCGCTTTGTTTCTGATGTATGGAAAGAAGATTTAGGGCCAGGAGGAAGGGTCCCTCAACAGACCAGATAATCTCTAAAGGGTTAAAACGTGTATGTGTTCTGGCTTCTTTTATGGTTGGCTAGTGACTTAATGGTTTTAAACCACAATTGGATGGAGCTACATGCATGTGTCATGAATTACAGGTGACTTTTAAAAAATACCTGGATCTACTTCCTAATTACTTACAGATATGAGGGCATTAGACCAATTGTTAAATCAAGGCCATCTATTGTGGTAGGTGTCCTTGGCCTCTAACTGCTTCATAGTTAATGCTCCTGTTCTTCAAGTAACCTCATTAAATTTATAGGCTTTCATTTTCTAAGTAATATATTTTCAAAGCTGTAATAGAAAGTTACATTGTTCAGAGTTAACCATACTATTGTGTTTTACTAAGTTCATTTATTTTAGCTGAGGTAGGCATTTGCTCCTACCTGATTGCAAGTCATGCTTTTGTGATGTAGAATTGTGTAGCCTTTATTGATCATTTACTGGTGAATTCAAATGAAACAAATTAATTTTTGAAGGAAGTCTTGGCTCTGCTTTGAGTCATTCCCTTGCCTCATTTATAATGACTGTGAGTCCAGCCTCCTGTTCAGGAGTGAATTCTCTTTAATTTAAGCTCTTCACAGAGGGATGTCAATTCTGCTGCCATCTTAAAGGATCCTTAAATTGCACTTAACTACAGCATAGAATAGCTCCCATTCTGGGATGAGATGGGTCACACAATCCTGATCTAATTGCTTCTCAAAAGTTTCAGGCAGTAAAATTCATGGAGTATTACCTGAGGGCTATGACATCTCTCCATTTGTAGACACTGGCAAAAAAAAAAAGATGTATCAATAATAATTGACTGAGTCCTTACTATATTCTGCATATTGTTCTCAGTACTTTACCTGTCAGCTCACTTAATCCTCATAGCAGCACTGAAAGTAGGGTTCGATTTGTTGCCTCCATTTTATAGACGAGAAAAATCGAGTCAGAGTGTTTTACTCACCAAAGGACATAGAGCTAATAAGTGGTAGAGCCAGGGTTTGAACCTAGAAATCTGGCCCTATGGTCTGGGCTCCTGGCCACCATGCTCTCAATGTTTCACTTCACCCACAATGGAAGTGAACTGAGGACACATCCCTGAGAAATATAGAGAAAAATAGTTCCATGAAGAAGACCGATAGAAAATGATCAGAGAGGTAGGGGAAAAACTAGGGAGACACCCTGTCTCAAGGACAGAGAGAGTTTTAAGAGGGAAGGAGGGACCAAGAGCATCCGTGCCACAGAAATGCCATGGAAAGAAAGGACTAGAAAATGCCTACTGGGCTTGACGACATCTTCAGCCTTAGCAAGAGCAGACCTCACGGGCTAGGGGAAGGTAGATAGAACCCAGACTGTGCTGTACTTGGGGAAAAGTCGAGTGGTAAGGAATTGGAGACAGCAAGCCATATTGTTAAAAACGACTTTTCCTTTAGGGAAGTTTTAAAGTAGGAGGCACATTTTCCATCCATGATAGAGTTAGAGATGAGATTCCTACCTTGAGTAGTAGGGTGTCTAATCGGCATCTCAAGCTATGTGTGATGAAGGACCAGTTTTTAAAAATTTTCTAACTTACTGTTGATCAAGACCCCAACACCAGTGGATGGACCACAATTTGGAGGGTCCCTTCCGGCTTGATGACGAGTTGTGAATCATCTAGAGTTTTTGATCTTGACAAGCTGATTTTAATCTTCTGTCTTCCTTCCTTTATAGCTTTTCATAGTATAACGGAATTTTAAATCTCTTTTGGTAAGGTTTAGAACTTTATTTTCAAAATTCACTTCTCTCTTTAGCCCTTACTCTGCTTTTATATGAAAAATGTTAATTTTCGAACTTATATTTATCCTCCTATGTGACCTTCTTTTCTAACTTATATTTTACTTTTTTCTAGTGCTGTACAGGGATGTGAGATTTGTGTGTAGTGGGAGAGGGGGAGGTGGTAGTGGAACATTTCACCTCAGCAGAGAGTATTTTATCTCTGATACCGTCTAAAACTGCTGACACATGGTGATAACAAAAAGCAGACCAACTATTGGTTGGTTTTATTATTGTCTTTTACATTCTCTACAGATGCTGGCACCTCCTTATCATCTGTATCTGGGATGAAATGCTTCCACTATCTCCTCCGTGTGCCACTGGCCTTAGTTTTATATTAAAAGTGTTTCAAGTTGCTGTATAGCTGCCAATTAAAATATATTCAGATTATCATTATCTTCACATTTTTATAGGCTATTGACTACTTCTCAAAGGCTTTAAAGTTTGATCCAGAAAATGAATGTGCTACCATGAATCGAGCTATTGCAAATGCAGTATTAAAGAGATACGAAGAAGCAAAAGAAGACTTTGCATATGTAGTTGAAAGCTGTCCATTTTGGGCTGCAGTATATTTTAACAGAGCATCCTTCTACTGTTGTTTAAAGCAATATGAACTTGCTGAAGAAGACCTAAGTAAAGGTATATTTTTTTGTAATTTTTTGATTAATATCATAATGGTTGATTTGTTTGTTTTTGATGACAAAAGAAGAAAATCATCAAGTCTATCTGCCTAGATAAACTAACATTAGAATTAATGGTTTTATATATCATATCTTTAATGTAATCAGTATGGATTCCTTTATGTAATAACTTACAGCATTGGTAAGCTAAGACATAGAAAATTATTAGGGAAACCATACATAAACAATGCCAGCCTTTCAAAAAAGACATTGTACTGTGTTTTCCCAAGTTAATTTTCTTAGAAAGATTCAATGTTTTAAATTTAACTAAATAATTAGGTACATATGAGGAAAAATGTTTTCAAATAGGTAATACGAAAGTTCTTATATTATAAAATTTTTATTTAAAAAAGTGAAGCTTTTTGAGTGCTAGCATAAAACATATCTTGAAATTTTTTTCTTTTACAGCTCTGTCTTTGAAACCTAATGATGCTCTAGTGTATAATCTTAGAGCAGAAGTTCGTGGTAAAATAGGTCTGATTGATGAAGCTGTGGCTGACTATAACCAAGCACTTTATCTTCAAGAACATGCCTCAGTGGTATGACTACATAGACCCATAGATTCTGTAGTAGTTTACACAGCTGTTCTTCCAGAAATTGAAAAGTATTTGTTGCTTTAAAAAAAGTTTGCACTATCTTCATTGTTTTGTTCTTTATGTTTAGTCTTTTATATAATTCTTTAATGCATTTTAGCAACACCTTTTTGTTATATATTAATTATAAAACTTTCAGATCATTTTCTGCAGATTTGGAGCAATTCAATAATTGAATTTCTTCACAAGGTGTAGAATTTAAATGAGAATGTTTCTCAAGGGACATATTAACACAAAATATTTTCTTTAAAGTAAAATAATTCCTTTTAAAATAATACTGTGTGATTTTAGAAAAAGTCTCATTGACATTTTCATCAAAACCTAAATGCAATCAACAGTATCCAGATCAAAAAAAATAGAGAGCTGATGACTATAAAGAAATTGAAGTCAAGCACATATCCTCTCTCCTCCTTTGAACAATATCTACACAGGTCTGTATTCTTCCCGCTACTCATGTTTTTCCAACAGATGAACACGTTCCTCTTTTTCATGTTGCCTCCCTTCCAGAGCAGCACCTATAAAGATTTTGAGCGTCCGCTTTCCTTGACATGCCTCTGCCTCTTTAATGCATATGTCATAAAAGTATATAAAAAATCTGCATACACTTATAATTAGTGCATCATAGAACTTGACAAGTAGAAATACATTAAAACAGCTAAAATTTCTTTTTATTTTAACATCTTTATTGGAGTATAATTGCTTTACAATGGTGTGTTAGTTTCTGCTTTATAACAAAGTGAATCAGCTATACACATACATATGTTCCCATATCTCCTCCCTCTTGCGTCTCCCTCCCTCCCACGCTCCCTCTCCCACCCCTCTAGGTGGTCACAAAGCACCGAGCTGATCTCCCTGTGCTATGCCGCTGCTTCCCACTAGCTAGCTATTTTACATTTGGTAGTGTATATATGTCCATGCCACTCTCTCACTTCTTCCCAACTTACTCTTCCCCCTCCCCGTGTCCTCAAGTCCATTCTCTACGTCTGCGTCTTTATTCCTGTCCTGCCCCTAGGTTCTTCAGAACCATTTTTTTGTTTGTTTAGATTCCATATATATGTGTTAGCATACGTATTTGTTTTTCTCTTTCTGACTTACTTCACTCTGTATGACAGACTCTAGGTCCATCCACCTCACTACAAATAACTCAGTTTCCTTTCTTTTTATGGCTGAGTAATATTGCATTCTATATATGTGCCACATCTTCTTTATCCATTCATCTGTCGATGGACACTTAGGTTGCTTCCATGTCCTGACTATTGTAAACAGAGCTGCAATGAACATTGTGGTACTTGACTCTTTTTGAATTAAGGTTTTCTCAGGGTATATGCCCAGTAGTGGGATTGCTGGGTCGTATGGTAAAAATTCTTAGTAGGATATCTCTTTGGTGAACCAGAGAACCCCTTTCCTTTATCTCACTGATAGTAACAAGGTTTCCTGACTTGTAAACTCATTTAGATTTGCTTCACTCAGTTTATTTTCCTTCTTCGTTTCATTCTTCCAATACATCTCCAGCTCCTCAGAGACCTGTGTTCACTGAGATGAGGCACTGTGGAAAAAAATACCCCTATCTACTCAGTTTCCTTTGTTTTCAGTTTGATGTACCAGATTTTCACAATACAAAGCTGATTTTTATTCGTAAGCCACTGTGGGGATTCTTCACAGTCTTTCAGGATAGTTTTCTTAGCATGATATGTGGGTCCATGTGAGGACTGTGTCGTGCCTAGTAAGTTATTTCAGTTGGTGATTCAGACACCTTTAATACGCCTCTTCAGATCCTCTCATTCTTGCTCGTCTCCAGAACCTTTAGTCCCAGCCCGGCCACAGATGAGATTCAGGCCAACCTCATGCACCCACAGACAGACGCTCATCTTGTGCTCCAGCCACACATCTCTCACCTACAGCGCTGGGCATCTCTTTTAAAGCTGAGGTGTCACCTGCTGCGGTAGTGCCCAGCCACGTGCCTGGCAGATGTGCAGGGGACCCAAATCCCTGTCAAATGAACTTTTGATGATGAGAGAAAGGAACTAGTAGATAGGCTCTTTTCCATCTTTTGGTGGAGTGTCCTGAGATACTTGGTTTATACAGCCTCCTGGAGGATGGTCCTTGGAGATTAAGCAATCAGTTCACACGTACTAGTGGCCAGCTTCGAGATGTATCTTGTACTGGTGCTTTGGGCTTTTGGCTTTTGGCTTCCCTGCTTTGCTTCCTTTTCTTACTGCTCCTGCTTTTTTGGGTTTGCACTTCTTGATAAAGTCATTGCCCAGAAACATTATCCTCTGGCTCTGCTTTCTGGGACAACCCATGCTAAGACAATTAGTAATTTAATATTTTTTTCCTGATTACATACAAGTACTTATAACAAGAGGCAGGAATGATACAAACCAAGGGCCATGATGGTGTAATGGAGCAAATCATATCTAACATGCCAAAATGCTACGTGGTGACCCCGGGTCCACATCCACTGGGTACCCACAGTTTCTGTCTGTACTGACCCCCAACCTCTTGCAAGAACCTACAACTTTCCACCTGAGGCCCTTCTCTTGGTCCACACATAGGCTAAGCCAGACCAGGCAAGGTATAGTGTTCTCTGCCTCACATTCATTGTCTCTACTTCTTTACCCATGTCTTGTAAGGTAGCAGGTATCATTAGATGAGGAAACTGAGGCTCAGAAGGGTCCAGTTATATGATCAGTGTCACACAGCTTTTAAATGGTGGAGCCGAAAGTCAACCTCTATTCTAGTTTAAAAGCCTCTGCTCCTTTTCACCTAAAGAGGAATAAAACAAGATGAACTCATAGTCTATTAAATAACCTTTATCGTGATGACATCAAAGCTCTCTGTCTGCCTAATGATTATTAGTGCAAAAAAGGGATTTCCAGTCTTTAACACTTCTTTTGTACTGTCATATATGTGTATTTATTTATGTCTATGTCTAAGTATCTATGTATCTAGCCTAGCCTTAGATAAATGCGTGATGGTAGTAAGATTATCTTGAGCTTTTAATTTGAAATACAGTCAATGGGCAGCATTTTACATTTTATCTTTAATAATACAGACCAGATAGGAATGACAGTGGAAAGGTCAGTGTGTAGGCAGTAAGAAAGGGGAGAAAAAGAAAACTTCACTTGCTAAAAATCTACTAAGTACCAGAAACTCACCTATGGCTTAAGGACATTTTCATTTCACCATTATACTTGAGACAGTCTTATAATTCTCACTTTACAGGAGAAAAATATGAGGTACAGAAAGGTTAAATAATTGGTTTAAAGCACCTCGAGTATAATGATGTCATCCAAATGTAGTTTCATTTTTATTTATTCAATATATTTCTTTAAGTTGACTTGCTAGTATTAATTGAATTTATTTAGAGAGAAGGAATTTGTAAAAATAAATGCATAACTATTAATAAGTTTGTCCTTGTTCTACCTAAAGTAATCTTTTTATACCAGTGTTCCTCATATCACATTTTAGGAAACATTGTGCTCTATAGTGTCACTGCTAGATGGGTGTAGCTGGAAGAGAAATCACATTGAGGGAGGGAAAAACATATAATGCCTCCTCAGTGAGAAAGAAGAGAAGTTGATTTGTGCCTGGACAGGCAGCTCGGAGCTAGAAGCAATATCCTTGAGCCGTGAGAGTCTCCATCTACCTTCTTAGCGTGTTGTAACAAGATCTCACTCTTAGAGGTTCTCCAGTGGCATAAAAATGTTTCGTTTGTCAATGCCTGAGAATCACTGATTTCCAAAAATAACAGGCACTTTGACCATCTACTATGAGATCCCAATGTTCAACTTGTCTTCTCTTCACCCATCTTTACCTGGCTAATTTATTCTCAGGAAGAGATATCTTGCTCTCCCTAGGAGGGTAGCTTAGGTCTTTTTCCTCTACACTTCCACAGCACTGCTACCTACTCTTTTGGATTACCCTTCAAATCTGTATATCCTTGTTTAATGACTGTCTTCCGCTCTAGACCCGAAACTTCGAGGGCAAGGATTAGGTCTATCCTGTTCACCATGGTGTCACCAATGCTTGTCACAGTTCCTGGCACATAGCTGGTGCTTCATAAATATTTGATGTATTTACTTAAATAAAATGCAGGTCTGGACACTCATAATGCAGGACATTATGACCCAACACAGTACAGATATGTGTTTTACTATTCATTTCTCTGATAAAGTGAGCATCCTGTGAGATTCTAGGCACAGACTCTTCAAAGGTCAAAGCAATGACAGCACTCATCCTCAGTGCTATTCTTATTTAATATTTCCTGTGAGTAGAGAGGTTCTTAGCATCCACATAGCTTTCACAATGTCTAACTTACACACACACACACACACCACACACATACACGGCACCCTTAGAACTATAAGATGAATACCTTAGAAAATGGACTTAGGAAAAACCAAGATGTAATGAATGAGATCAGTCTCACTTGTTATAAAAATAACAAGTAGGCAGCTGTCAAGGTGATGAGGGTGAAATGTCTGAAATCATGGTGTGTTAACATCTCAGGCTAATCATTGTAATTTTTTATAATTGGATGATGCCATGACATAATCAAGCTGTAACCCAATCAAGTATAGTAAATAAGAGACTATAACAAATTTTTAATTATTCCCCTTTAAAAAATGATATCTTGCAGTAATCAAGGGGCCATGGTGTATACTGTACCTAAAATTGGGGCAGGGAATGGTCAGAGTGCAAACATTTATATGCATGTTCCTGGCTCTATCTGCTGAACTGGTGTTCCAAAGAGTGGATAGGAACATTCTGATCTTTTGACTTCTTGTTAGTTCATCCCCATAAAGTAAATGGGTCATACCACTGTCATAGTTTTAATCCACTAAACCATTAAGGTAATCCAGCTACGTCTCTTCTTTCTGATTCTATGCTAGCCCGGAAACCTTTAGTGATAATTTGATTCTCATTATGTAGAACAGTATTTATAGTAT